ATTATACTTTTTTCCCGATTAGATCTTATATTATATGATAATAATTACCTTTCAAGATCAAAGCTGAATCTAATACGGAGGAATTGCGGGAGATAAAGGAAGTAGAACGACGGCCGTACGGGAGGAAGCAGAAATGGAATCGATGACTAAAGAGGACTCCTCGGAGAAAGACGAAATGGTTTCGCTGTTTGAGGGGATGGTTCTCTTCAATCCGAGTGCAGACGTCGGGCAATTGTCCACCGTGGCCGATGCCGATACATCAGCTTCTTCCCCGTCTACATCTATGCAGCTTCCTGCTGTATCCAATGAACCCCTTGATGAGAACCTTTTCTCGGATCTCACTCTGATGACTCCCTCTCAATCTCTACTGCTCGAAGAAGAAGAAGAAGGTGAAACCCAACCTCCATCTGATCTGCCGGCACTATATCGGCAGAGTTCCAGTAGGAGAAGAAAAAAAGCTGGTTTAAGGATAGGATATGGCAGAGATAGAGATTATGCTTCTGACGACCGACCACAATCTCACCCCTTGCCCAATATCCATCTCAATGAGATAGGATCCGCATCCCACGAAGAACAAAAGCTCGAAGAGGAAGCTGAGGAGTGGAGGCAGCAAGAAAACAATATCCCCTCTTCTATTCCTGCAGCCACAGAGCAGGATTCCAATGGCACTGACTCTGACAGAAATGGTAATTTGGCGTCGGTTACTCCTATTTCGGAAAACATGGATGCTAGTCATCTAAATGCTAAAGCAGACCCTGTTGAGTTGAAATTCGAGCAAATCAGGGCCAGCATTGCAGACAAGCTGAAGTTGGCGCGGGAGGCGGTAGTGTCGGTCTCCGCAATGCGGAAAGAATCTATCCGTAGGAGAAGAAAAGCTGTCGACGACTTCAATGGGGCATCTTCCCGCCATAGAGAGTTGGAGCAGAAGCTGGATGAAGCTTGTGAGGCAGAGGATTTTGAGACCGCTGAAAGGGTCAGTGAAAATCTTGCTTTGGCAGAGAAGGAGAAGGATCGGTTGGTCATCCTGCTCAAAGATGCCGAGACACACTGTGATGTCGTTGACACTAAGATGCAGGAGGTTCTTGACTCACTTATTCAAGCTGAGGAGGAATGTGTTTATTTGCTAAGAAGATTTTCAGAGGTGAGATATGCAGACTATTGGTTGCTAAAGATGATAAACCTTTTTTGTTTTCCTCTCCTTGTGTTACTATCCTCCATCTAAAAATGCTTCTGCAAATGTGTTCTAGTCATCATTTTTAAGTAATTTGGTGGCATTGCATAACATAGCACTTATCTGAATGATTATTTTTCTCTTTTCTTTATTTTCCTCTGCTTGAATTTGGATCTTCAGGTGAATCTACATGTATCTGTGTTTAGACTGCTCAAACCATTGTCTGTATGGTAGCAAATTGTTTCCCTTCTTATAAAAGTGGTTTGTTTTATCTAATTTTAAACAAGGGACTCCTTTGATCTATTTCTAAATTCTTCATCTATGACATGTTATAATCTTTTTCATAAATACGGCACGTGTCATTATTATTTCAATCTTGTAAAGGCTTCTCTCTACTTGGTAAAATCTAGATCTTAATCCGTATTCAACCCTAAGGAGCTCATGTGAAGTTCTATATATGACCTTTTTCCCAAAAAAGAAAGTTTATATATTAAGGCTGATTACACACATCTTCGCTATAACATTGAGCAAAATGATGTTTGTTAAGATTGGAAGTGGTCAATTCAGATGAGATGGCAGTCCCATTAAATGGCTCATGAGGCGGAACATCTGGCACACCAAAGTAAGTTGGGTAAGTGTTCATTACTTCAGAAGTGGAGCCAAGTGGAAGAAATTAAAGAGAATTTGCGTAAGATGATCCAAGATCATATAGGAAAAAACTTGTGAACTGTCTATTCTAGGTAAGGTAATGCTACTTACCCCAGCAAGAGCAGATACAACAAAAACAAATTTTGTTTTTTCATATGGATATGGACTTGCTAGATACTCTGGCGTAATATAATTATGCATTTCCATTATTTCTTAAGTCACGTAAACAAATGCATTGTATAAAGTAATTATTCCTCTTGAACTTTTTCAAATACTGTTTGTCACCATCTAAAAAAAATAATTTCAAATGCTGTTCTCAAAAGAAAAAAGAAAAGAAAAGGATCTTCTGAACTATTGTATTTCTCGTGTTGTAAGTTTTACTAAATACTGGAAACACGTATTGATGTTAGAACCATTTATTGTGTGTAAAGTATTTTCAGCTGATTTAATTCAGATAGATTGAAATTTTTTAACTTGATGATTTTTTTTT